TAATAATAATAGTATTTGTTTAACCCAAACGATTGTGTTATTGCTTTGACCCAAGTGACATTTGTTCAAAAATGGAAGTAAATAACAGATTGCTTTTTTTTAACAAATTAGAAATGAAAATATGGACTAATCGAAGTCCACCACAAACAAAAGATTTCTAATCTATTGATAAACTATTTGGTAATTGTCCAGAATTGGGGCTCCAGACTAAAATCGCTCCAAAAATTTTTTCATCAATTTTGGGCCATTCTGCATAATAGAATTACATAGTAGAAGGTGGGAGAGACAGTCTTTTATGACTTATATGAATTATAATTTTTCAAAATTGCCCCAATTCCGGATAATTACCTGCATTAGTGACGCCATTGTTTGATTAGGTAGATTTATGACAGATTGGAGTTTATGTAACGCCCCTGCCCAGGTTGGTTAGGGTATTTTATTTTATTCACAGAAATTTTTATACATTTCTTAGTTCAATATCGGAATTCCATACAATTCCTATGATGTATGCTGAAATAAAAAAAGATGTGTCTACCCTGCCTCAAGTACAATCATTGAACCTTCAGAAATGACCAGAAATCGATAAAAAAAATTTTGGAGATATTTCGGTCTGGAGCCCCAAATCTAGGAATTGTATGAAATTCCGATATTATACTAAGAAATGCATAAAACTAATGTATTCTGTGAATAAAATACTCTAACATATCAGCCTGCCTCCTGCGGGCAGGGACATTAATTAATCTCCAATCTATTATAAATCTACCTAACCAAACAATGACGTCACTAATGCAGGTAATTATCCGGAATCGGGGGGCAATTTTGAAAAATTATCATTCAAAAAATTTTTTTTTATTTATGAAGTCATAGAAAGAGCTGTCTCCCCCACATTCTAATATCTAATTCTATTATGTACAATGACCGGAAATCGATTAAAAAAATTTTTGAAGCGATTTTGGTCTAGAGCCACAATTCTGGACAATTAACATGTTAAAATAATTCGAAGCGGTCTGTATTCTGTCGAAACTGCCAGACGCGGATCGCGATTTCGATCTTTTTGGATCTCATCAGCGCGTCGCAGACAGCTCCGACAGAACACAGACCAACTTTTACCTGCTGTCTTAACAGTGCGTTTTAGAAAATACTACAAATGGCGCAGTAAACGCCATCTGTAGCACGATGCTACATTTTAGGATTACGTATGCTCCAACAAGGTCCACTTGTGTGGATATCTACTTGCTGAAAACGAATCCCGGCGTAGCCAACCTCAACGTGATAGGCACGTTAGCTTAATCGAATAAAATAATTCGAAGTGGTCTGTATTCTGTCGAAACTGCCAGACGCGGATCGCGATTTCGATCTTTTTGGATCTCATCAGCGCGTCGCAGACAGCTCCGACAGAACACAGACCAACTTTTACCTGCTGTCTTAACAGTGCGTTTTAGAAAATACTACCCCATCCGCGTCTGGCCGTTTCGGCAGAATACAGACCACTTCGAATTATTTTATTCAATTAAGCTAACGTGCCTATCACGTTGAGGTTGGCTACGCCGGGATTCGTTTTCAGCAATTAGATATCCACAAAAGTGGACCTTGTTGGAGGATACGTAATCCTAAAATGTAGCATCATGCTACAGATGGCGTTTACTGCGCGATTTGTAGTACTTTCTAATTAACATGTTCTTCTATTCTTCTTCATTTTTAACCTTCCCTATCCACGGTATCTTCATCATTCGCCTGTAACACTACATTTTGAACGCATCTAACCTTTCCTTTTCCGCTGCGCCCACTATCCGTGTTTCGCACCCTTACAGCGCCGTGATCCAAACATACACCTTTGAGAGCCTTTTTCGAATTTCTAAATAAATCATTCGCGAACATAATAGTGACTTCTTTCTATTTAAGGCGATTCAACCCTGCGCTATCTTCTGCTTTATATCCTTAGTACCTACTCTTTCTGTCCTGACTTATCTGACCTCATACATACCTAAAATCGGTCACTTCTAATTTCTCGTCACCTATCTTTATATTCATTCTTTCCCTAGTTTTTCTTCCCCTGCATACCAGTAATTTTGTTTTAATTTTATTTCACTACTGTTTCGTCAATACTTCCATTTTATTAAAAGCTATCTCTAACTCCTCCTTGCTAGATGCTAATACTGCTAATCATCTGCAAATCTAAGCGTACTAATTTTTTGCCCCTGTACATCTATCCCTACGGTTGTACTGTCATTAATGATGTTGATCGAGTCTTCGATGTATAGACCAAAAAGTAGCGGTGACAGTGTGCAACCCTGTCTGACTCCCTACCTACTATTTACTTCTCTACGTTGCAGCCCCTTCTCTATGACTGCCTGTTGCTCTTTATACAAACTAAGTATCCCTCTTATGTCTTTGTAACTCATCCCTACACTTTTAAGTATATTTAACTTCTTGTCCCAGTATATTATTTATATAAAAAGATAGCTGAAGGTATTTGAACGAATTTCCCTGCACCACGTCGTATTTTTCAAAAATTGCACCGTCATTTGATGGTTGCATGCAAGAAAATATCCCTATACTCGGTTCTTAATTAATTATATTCATTATATATCATAATTAGTTAGCCGCAAAACTGTTCAAAATTAAAACGGTCTTCATTTGCTGAAAAATAGTTCATATTTGCCTTACTTTGTTTTTAAAGTTGAACATATCCATTCGGGTTACCATAGCTGGTCAAAATTAAGGTGTACTGGATCGTTTTCTTTTGTAAACTCAATTTACCCATGGTTCTTTGTAGACCATCGCTAAAATAATACAATTAATAGATAGAATTTATAAGATCAATGAACAATCTTCTTAAAACTTACGTCATTTACTAGCTGCATCCTGTGGAAACTTAAAAGCATAATAACCTCTTGCATTTAGGTATCGTCAGGTGATAATAATATTAGCAATAAAAAAAGAATAAATTATTATGTTTTAGATAAAGATTAAAATATTTTTATTGTTAACAAAGTATGTATTAGAAATTGAGAAAAAGTTTGCATCAGAAAGTTTTTGTACTTTGTTTTGAATATTCTTATCAACGACTGATAACACCTATAAAATTAATTATACCATAACAATACTATTGCCTTCTTGGGAGCAACAATTAAGGAACACAGGGGTCAATAGATGATTAAAATAGCATCGGCTGGGGGTTAACTAAGACTGTATAAAAGCGTCCCGCCGATTCACAAAAAGCATCAGTCTTCCATCGCACGTTCCGTCGTTTGATTACAATGAAGACTGCGCTTTTTATTCTTCTATTGGGGTGTGGAGCCCTTGCAGTGCCACACAGGCACCACTCATCGAGAGAATCTCAAGAACAAACTGACGCTAAAGAAAATGACGTCGTTGAAATGGATATCAGTGTATTGGGAGGCGTTAAAGAGCTTAAGGTTGGAACATCACGAGGACGTTCTAGTCAGTCTTCAGGATCGAGAAGCTGGCCATCAGTTCGAGGTGTCATATCTCAACAACCCGAAAGTGTACAAGAAGTTGCAGAAGTATGTCAACAGCAGCAACAGCAACTTGACGATATCGAGAGACAGCTTGAAGACAACCAAGACAGAACTCCTGTGCAGAGTCAAAAAATTGAAGTCCAACAGCAGATACAACAGATAAGGCGTTTGAAGCAGGAGCAAGATGAAATTAAGCAACAAATCGAACAAGAATCACAAAGTGCTCAGTCAACATCTCCAAACAAGCTCAATCAGATTCAGAGGCAACAACAACAGCTTCAACAGAAGATCGATCTTCTTCAGCAAACAGTCGACCAAGAATCACCATCATCTAACCTACTTGGAGCAAGAAAATCCACCAGTGTTCAGCAATTACTCATTCAATCGAAACTACAGCAAATTCAAATTGCCCAAATCAAGCAGCAACTCGAAGAAGCCCAACAAAATGCAGCAGGGCCCGGCCAGATGGCGCAGGTTAAGCAACAGAAGCAAGAAGCTCAACAACTTCAGCAGCAATTGAATCAAGTCACGCAGGAAATTCAACGCGAAGCTCAAAACAATCAGCCAACTTCACCCGCCAAATTAAACCAAATTCAAACGCAACAAGAACAGCTTCAACAGGAAATTGACAGTCTTCAACAAGCAGTGGAGCAAGAACAAGGTACGTCACTGAGCCTTTCCACTGGTGGACGGACACAACCTGGTAATCTGCTACAGCTTAAAGCTCAAATTCAACTACAGCAATTACAACTTGACCAAATTAAACGACAACAGCAAGGCGCAATCGGTACTGGTCAAGAAATCCAAGTTCAACAGAAAATACAGAATGTTCAACAACAAATAAATCAGATTGCCCAGGAAATCCGCAAACAAGCTCAAACTCCGCAATCCGCATCACCATCAAAGTTAAACCTGATTGAGAGACAGCAGGACTCTATTCAACAACAATTAGGCTCTTTGCAGCAGCTTGTAAGTAGACAACAACAAAGTCAGTGGAGTCCCTTGGGAATATTCAATACTCGCTCACAAGCATGGTCTTCAGCCGCAACTGCAGGTTTCGGTGGCGTTAGCTTACAACGACTAGCGTCTCAAGCACAGCGTCAACAAAATCAAATTCAACAAATTGACGCAGCTGTACAAGATGTTCAAGCAAATGCTGTTAGCACAAGTCGAAAGATTCAAGCACAGAGACAGATGCAACAAGTTGAACAACTTCAGCGCCAATTAAATGACATGGAAGAAGAGATTCAGGATGAAGCGAATAGTCCACAACCAACTTCACTATCAAAAGTAAATCAAATCCAAAGGAAGCAAGACGAATTACAAGTTAACATTGATCAACTTCAACAATCTATTGGTCCAGTTGGTTTATTTGGCGCAGGTGGTATCAACCAAAAACGGCAATCGCAATCAATTTGGGGAACTTCTGGTCCCCAGAGTATACGTCAATTGCTTAGTCAGGCACAACAGCAACAGGGTCAGATTCAACGAATTGAAGGTCAGCTTCAATCCGCTCAACGTGGTGCAACCGGACAAGGTCAACAAATCCAGATACAACAATTATTGCAACAGGCATTGCAAGTACAGCAACAAGCTCGTCAAGTAAAACAACAAATTGAAGCTTCAGCTCAAAGCCCCGTACCACCTTCTGCAGTACGTCTAAGTCAAAATCAAAGGCAACAGAATCAACTACAGCAAAATATTGACCAACTTGAACAGACTGCAGAACAAGTTTTAAGACAACAATCCGGCAGTTCATCAATCTGGATGGTACCGGCTTCACTTCAGTCACAGATAGCAACCATTCAAAACAGTCCCCTCAGGCAAAACCCATGGCTTGCACGAAGAATTGGTCAAACGCAGTGGTTGAGTCAAACACCAAGACATGTTCAACTACTAGGTCAGCTACAACAGCAAAAGGAACAAGTAAACCAAATTCAAAATGACCTGCAGGATATTCAGCAAGAAGTTACCAGTCAATTACAGCAACTCCAAGTTCAACAGCAACTTCAAGCTGCTAACGCAATTCAACAAGAGCTCGATGATGTTGCGCAAAGGATTCAAGAAACAACCCAAAGTGGCCTCACACCTTCAATTGCAGTTGTAAGCTCCATTCAGGCAGAACAATCTCAATTGCAACAGAAAATCAATCGTCTTCAACAGCAGGTGAGAGAACAACAACAGCAACTTGGTCTTCAATCAGTTTCCAGGCTCGGAGGATGGACTAGAACACCAAGAGGAGTTGTTACATCCAGTCGCAGACAACAATGGTCTTCACAATCTGCAACAGGTCGAATTCAAGGACAAGGCATATCTCAATGGGCCCCTAGTGTACAGCAATTGGTTTCTCAAGCTGAAGATCAGCAGGTACAGTTGAACGAAATTCAAAATGATCTTCTAAATTCCCAAAGAGAAGCGGCTGGACAAATACAACAAATTCAAGTTCAGAAACAGAAACAACAATTACGACAACTTCAACATCAACAAAATAGCATTGAGCAGCAGCTCCAACAGGAAGTTGAAAATGACCAACCAACCCCTGTTCAAGTACTTAATCAAATCCAAAGACAACAGGTGCAACAGCAACAACAGCTGGATCGCCTTAAAAAAGCAGTACAAAGACAGAGAGGTCAAAGAGGACAACCATGGCAAGGAAGTGTCGGTTTAGGGGCAACACAAACTCAAGGACAAACAGTTCGTCAAAGACAGGAACAAGCTGGTCAGTTACCTAACCAATGGGACGAGGATCAAACCGAGCAAGGAACTTTGGATGACCTCGTTCAAAAGGAAGTAACACCAGCACAAAATCAGGATCTGCAGCAACAAAGACAAGTCGGTCAGTTAGAAGCACAAGCAGTTCAGATTTCACCAGTGGCGAAGGAGATTCAGATTAGTAAGTACAATAGTTTTGCAAAAAATAGTAAATATATTTAATCATTCTATTCATTAACTTCAGATGATCCTCAAACAATTAAGAAACAAGGTGATGTGTTGCGTCTCGTTAAAAATATAAATCAACAGCCACTCGATGATGAACTTGTACAGGCTGGTAACTCGTATTCAATTGAAGCAAATTCTGACAAATATACGGTAAGATGACTAAACTTTCTAATCTTAAATAGCACCTTCTAAACTGTTTGCATTACCTGTATTTTATAGGATCAACAAGCAGTAAGAAATCTTGGAAAGCAAATTGAGAAGGGAATACTGCCCAGAGGTGAAATTTTTTCTGTTTTCAACCCAGACCATCTGAAGCAAGTGATCGCCGTCTTCAAAGTTTTATATCACGCTCAAGACTGGGATACATTCATTAACACCGCAGCTTGGGCTCGTGTAAACGTCAACGAAGGCGTCTTTTTACATGCATTATCTGTAGCTCTCGCTCAACGTGGAGACACCGATCTCATTACTCTACCGCCGACCTACGAGATCACACCCAATTATTTCGTCAACAGCCATGTGATCCAAAAAGCTCAAAATGTTAAGCAACTAATATCTGATACCTCGCGTCCAAGAGAATACGTCATTATCGCTAACTATTCCGGATCGCACTTGAACTTGGATCCCGAACAAGCCCTATCGTATTTCTTAGAAGATGTTGGTTTGAACGACTTCTATTTCGATTACAACATTAACTATCCATTTTGGTTGAACACTGAGTATTTACAACAAGGAGGAGATCGGCGGGGTGAACAATCCTACTTTTTGGCCCAGCAACTTCTTGCACGTTATTACATGGAACGTCTATCAAATAACGTAGGTGATATTCCTGAAATAAATTTGGAAGATAAAATGATAGAGACTGGATACGTCCCATCACTACGCTACCCCAACGGCTTAGAATTCCCAGCCAGACCCAGCAAAGTTTTCTTAGGAAGAGACGAGGAAGTTGAAGATATTCAAGACATGGCACGACGCATTAAAGATGCCATCGATTCCGGAAAAGTCTCCGACGTAAGTAGTAAAACAAAACGCTATATTCTGCAATTTAAAATTGTAATACTAATATAATTTAACAGGAAGATGGAAATGATATTGATATATCAGGTGAAGATGGATTCGACACGTTGATGAATATTATTCAATCTACTCCAGAATCACTCAATCCACAATTTTACGGAGCCTTAGAGGTAGTTATGCGATGGGTACTTGGAAATTCTTTAGAGCCCCTTGACCAAAACAAACTCGCTCCATCAGCCCTAGAACACTTCGAAACTACTCTCCGTGACCCTGCGGCTTGGCAATTACTAAAGAAGGTCGTTAAATTGGCACAACAGTATAAACAGAAGCTTCCAAGTTACAACGAACAACAAGTTCATTTCCCGGGAGTCGAAGTCCAAAGTGTGCAAGTCAGTCCCCTAGTGACGTTCTTTGATAAGAACGACATTGACATTACAAATGCTGTTTACGTAAATGAACAAGATGTTGCTACGGACTCGATTAAGATTTTGGCCCGCCAAGCTCGCCTAAACAACCAGCCCTTTACAGTAAAGATAAACGTAAACAGTCAACAAGCTCAACCAGCAGTTGTGAGGATCCTGCTTGGACCCAAACACGACGAATACGGACGTGAAATTAACATCAATGACAACCGTCTTAACTTCATCGAATTGGATAAGTTCCCGGTACAATTACGACCTGGTTCCAACAATATTATTCGTGAGTCCAAAGAAATGAACGTTGTAGACGATTCGGCAAGCGCGGAAGAGCTTGAGCAACAGGTCGAACAGGCTCTTAGTCAACAGACGCCACTTCAATTGTCATACGACGATATTCTTACAGGTTTCCCCAAAAGGTGCTTATTTTTACGATCAAACTTTTGTCAAGATCAAACTCGTAATTTATTTCTTGTTTTAGATTGCTTTTACCCAAAGGTCAACGAGGAGGTCAGGTGTTCCAGATAATGGTGGTAGTTAGTCCGTTGGTGGAGTCGCCCGCCCAACAGCAAGCTCAACAACAAATGCAACAGGCTGTCCTGGGTCAAGATCCAACAGTGCAGAGAGGAATTCTCAATCAGAATGTAGACGGTCTGCCCTTGGGTTTCCCGTTGGATAGGGAAGTTGATGAAGTCGTCCTTGCGAACGCACCCAATTTAGCTTTACAAGATGTACTTATCGTCCACGAAGGCCCCGAAATTGCGGAAGCTCAAAAGGAAATTCAAAACGAAAGCCAGACTCAGCTGCTTTAAATTATTTGTTTAACTATTTAATAATTATTTGTAGATGCTTGGCGCGTTTCATTTTTTTGCAATGCTCATGTGTAGCTGATTGAATTCAGAATAAAAAGTTTTTCTATATTGAAAAAATACTCTTTATTTAGATAAATGTAGTGTTTAAAGAATCTAATAATATTAACCACCTACTAACTATGCTCTAGCAAAATAATTCCTGCCTTCAACGCCCACAAATTTAACTTACAACTATTGTCGTAGTACCTATCATGGCTACACGTCTTTACTTTCTACCACTTTCTACTATAATTATATACATTCATCAAGCATAAATCAACAGTTTTAAGAAATAACCAGAGGAACACAAGGAAAACTGTCATTTCACATTGAGGTACCTTTCACTCAGTTTTACTAGCATTTGATATCAGATTATCACTAATCTAGTCAAAATCAATTTTTTTCTTCAAAATTTATTTACTTATGTCTTTTTGTATCATTCAAAATAATCCCCACCAGATGTTATACACTTGTGCCAACGTTTTTTCCAATCCTCGAAGTACTTCAAAAAATAATTTTTTGTGATCTTGTTCAGAAGCTAGTTAGCCACATTTACGAAACGGGGAAAGTCCCAGAGGATTATAAACGGAACGTAGTAGTAATATTACCTAAGAAGAAGGGCGCGGATAGGTGCGAGACATTTCGAACAATTAGCTTCTTCTAACTTCCCATGCGTCAAAAATCTTAACTAGAATTGTACAGAGGAGGATGGACAAAAGGTCGGAAGAACTATTAGGGGAAGATCAATTTGGATTTAGAAGAAATAGAGGAACGCGGAAGGCATTCTAGCTTTACGGGTAACAATAGAGAAAACGATAGAAAAAGGAAAGAGTGCGTACATAGGATTTGTAGATTTAGAGAAAGCTTTTGACAATGTTAAATGGGACAAGATGTTAAATATACTTAAAAATGTAGGAATAAATTACAAAGATAGAAGAGTGATACTTAGTTTGTATAAAGAGCAACAGGCAGTTATAGAGCTGGGGATGCAACGTAGAGAAGTAAATATTAGGAAGGGAGTCAGGCAGGGATGCACACTGTCACCGCTACTTTTTAATCTATACATCGAAGACGCCATCAACATCATTAAAGACAGTACAACTGTAGGGATAGATGTGCAAGGGCAAAAGATTAGTATGCTTAGATTTGCAGATGATATAGCAGTATTAGCATCTAGCAAGGAGGACCTAGAGATAGCTTTAAATAAAATGGAAGCGGTACTGACAGATCAGTACTGTATGAAAATAAATAAAAGTAAAACTAAAATACTGATATGCAAGGGAAGAAAAAGTAGGGAAAGAGCGAATATAAAGATAGGAGACGAAAAATTAGAAGAAGTGGCTGATTTTAGATACCTAGGAAGTCAGATAAGTGAGGATGGAAGGAGTAGTAGGGATATAAAGCAGAGGATAGCGCAGGGTCGTGTCGCCTTTAATAAAAAGAAGTCACTTCTATGCTCGCGAACGGTTAATTTAGAAATTCGAAAAAGGTTGTTAAAGGTGTATGTTTGGAGCACGGCGTTGTACGGGTGCGAAACATGGACAGTGGGAGCGGCGGAAAAGAAAAGGTTAGAAGCGTTCGAAATGTGGTGTTATAGGCGGATGATGAGGATATCGTGGGTAGAAAAGGTTAGAAATGAAGAGATATTGGAAAGAATAGGAGAACAGAGGATTCTATGGAAGTCAATAAAAAATAGGCGAGATAGGTTGGTAGGACACCTTCTTAGGCATGAAGGTCTAGTCAGAGACATGTTAGAGGCAGAAACAGAAGTTAGGGTGGGTAGAGGTAGAGCTACATTAGATTAATGTTAATGATGTAGGTGGCTGCGGCATTATTGTTTTTGGCCAAAAATTCGCGCACAAGTAAAGATGTCTGAGCAGGGGCGTTAACATGGTGCAAAAGCGAATTCTTGTTCTTCCACAAATCCGGGCGTTTCTGGCTAATTGCTTCACGCAAATTGCGCCTAACCTGCAGGTAATTTTCCTTATTGACCGTTCTACCCTGTGGCAAGAACTCATGATGCACCACGCCCCTGCAATCGAAGAAAACTGTAAGCGAAACCTTCACTTTCGACCTAACTTGGCGCGCTTTTTTCGTTCTTGGCTGGTGCGGCAGCTTCCATTGGGATGATTGAGCTTTGGTTTCCACGTAATAACCATAAACCCACGATTCGTCACCAGTTATGACCCTCTGGAGGAAATTTGGGTCATCGCGAACAGAGTCCAACAGCTCTTTAGCAATGTTAGTACGATGTTGTCTTTGGTCCAAATTGAGCAATTTTGGTACGAATTTCGCGATGACCCGTCTCATGCCCAAATCATTGGTAAAAATCGAATGGTAGGAGCCAATCGATATGATTAAATCCGCAGAAACTTCCTTATTCTCGTGTTCGTATAGATTTAACCTTTTCCTTTGTAGTATCTAGAAACGAAAGTGTTTTAAAATAATCAACAAGGACTGTCTAAAACTGGAATCGAGGTGAAGAAGTAGCGGCACCACTAGAAATGGTGCCTATTATTATGGGCATCTTTGGAACGAGGCTTCAAGAATTTGTGACAGTACCTCTCGGAGATTATTTCTAAAAAGTGAACATTTGTATATGTATATAAAATGTCCATTCGTTGTAGATTATGTTTTCATCTACAAATAAAAGATGATTTTTGATTTTCCGTTTCTTTGGCTCACCTTGTAGCTACTGAAAAAATTGACAGTTTTCTTTATTTTATATCTGCGGGTATCTTTGCAATTAATAGATAATAGTCTTAGGAAACGAGTCCTCTTCGCGGGCAGCAGGACCCTTACCCGATCCTTGAGACCAGGGCGGATCGCAACCCCTCCCCCTGCTTCTTCGTTACGCTATTAGCGCAATTTTTACGAAAACTTAAATATGTACTCACTGGAAAAAGAATTTTTTTTTCTGAATTCGAAATATTTAGAACGAATTCTAATATTAAAGGAATAAAAATATACACGATTATGTAGTTGTTTTGTCGTTGTTCTTATCACTAACTTTACATAAGTATTTATTTATCAAAAAAAATATGTTTTTATTTGGACAGCGTAACATATAAACAAACTAAGTAAAATATAAATCAACAAAAATCAAATAAAAACAAACGGAAAGTACCTATCACTAAATTTAGTTTAATTTATCTATATCAAAACATAAACAATAAAAAAACGTCAGTTATTAAATTAAAAAACAACCAAAATTTTTTTACAAAAATCATCATTGTTCGTCAAGAGTTGGTCGTGATGTTCAACGGATTAGCATCCAGGACGACTTGCTATTAAGCAACCCCCACATTAAAACTTACGCGACCTTAATCTATTACCATCTGGTTACATTATCAGCTGAAGGAAAAATTGATTAGCTCATGATTTCCTCATTGTTAGTCTTTTTCTCTAACTCGAAATTGTAGTGCAGGGTTTATAATGTAAATTTTCTCTTTAATTCGAATATCTATTAGTATTCTTCGCAGCGGTAATCAAAGTTTCTAATTACCATAAGTTTTTACTCTGGTAACTGCTGCACTCAGTATTATATTATAAAAAATAGTAAAAAACAGTTACCTTACGATCATAAAGTTACGGTAGGAAAAGACAACATGAACGAAGTACTTACCTATCTATATTGCCTGACAGCATCTTTTGAAACTAATAATGATTGTTAGCGGTGGACTTAACAACAGTAATAAACAATATTAATTTGAAATCGTTTTTCGATTTTTTTATCCACTACAAACTTTCTCATGTTAATGAAGAAAAATACTTTTGCTATTGGTGCGTAAAGCCAAAAGCCCCGGGTTCGATTCCCGGCGGAACTACAGCAACAAAAATATTTTCCTCATAAATCTGAGAAAGTTTGTAGTGGATAAAAAATTGAAAAATGATTACAAATTAATATTGCATATTAACCACCATCATATATTTGGTATAGTAACAAGCAAGGCGTTCCAAAAGTCTAGGTGACTTCAACACACGCATGGAGTTGTTTTACACCATTACGTAAATGCCTGCCAGTTTTAGCTTTGTACATTCTAATTCTTTCTAAGCCGTTTTCTATTACGGATGCTAAAATAGCTTTATTTAAAAACCTAATTTCAGTTTTAATGTTATTCATGCGTCTTTGGTTTATTGATGTAAACCTTCTCCTTGAAAAAACCTCCACATGAAAAAGTCAGGGGCTGTCATATTAGGGGAGAGTGACGAATACAGATTTTGCTTAAAAGCTCTATGGTGAGCCTGGCCGCATGAGCTGTGGATTATTCCTGTTAGAACTACATCTTGACCATATTTTCTAAAGCAGGACAGAAAATTTTGAACCATGACCCTGTGACACTCACCAGGAGTTCTATTTTTCTCTTCGAAGAAATAAGGTGCGACTCCACACCACTCTGTACACTTTATGGGATGAAGTTACCTTCCGTGGATGATTTCTGGATTATCGGTTCCCTAAAACCGACAATTTTGTTTATTTACAAATTCATTCCAATGAAAATGGGCTTCATCACTCATGATTAGTCGCATGAGGAGATTGTTTTCTTCTCTACACGAGCAGCATATTGAATTCGTTGTTGATAATCGATGGACATCTCAATTTTATATACAAACATACGTAAGTACAATGGAATATAGTGGAGGCTTGATCGGGACAAATTTAGCTGAGTAAGACGCATTCTTATTGATGTTCCTGATGCACCTTCTTCCACACTATCGTTCTGCTATACATGCAGAACGTGGTCCACCTGTTCGGAGCAAGACTCTTGTAGGCCCATGATGTCGAAACCGTATAATTGTAATAACTGATCTTTCCCAATGAAGTTCCACAATGGTGCCAGGTCACAAAACTGCAAATTTTCTAGCTTTTAAATTTGAAAAGTCACGGATAAAAGGTTTATATGGCACAGAGTCAGCTAGGCGAGATAGGTTGGTACGATACCTTTTCAGGCATGAAGGTCTAGTCAGAGACATATAACAGGCAGAAACGGGAGCTAGGGAGGGTAGAGGTAGACCTAGATTAGATTACTGTTCGTAAATGGTTAATGATGTGGATTGTTTTAGTTTTAGGGAAATGCGAAGATTAGCGTAGGATAGGAAGGAGTGGAGGTGCGTGTCCAACCAGTCTTAGAACTGACGACCTTATGATGATGATTATTAGTTTGAGGATTCTCCGACCTAAAATTACTCTTAAGTGCGTATTGTCGATGTTGCTGGTGCCATCTCTGCGAAAAGAACTGGTGGGCAAAACCAGGAGTCTTGGTTCCATTCTTGACAAGAGACTGACGACCTTATGATGATGAGGAACTTTTGGGACACCCGGTACACAGATGCCAATGTCTTCAAAACAAATATTAAAAAGGGAAAAAACAAAAATTTGCCCCAACTCGAACTTTTTCTAACTCAAACATAATAGTTGCATTTAGAAGATTTGACTTAAGGAAGAGTGACAGCACTTTTTCCTATGTAGGCCTGTTAAGAACGCAGCGATTAACATCTTCAATGCGTTGACGAGACTCACATCCTAATTGTACTGTGGATTTCGGCGAAGAAGGCCCATGTTCTTATACTGAATATTATGCCTCAAAATTTGTAGATAATTTTCGAATTTTCAGTAAAATCCTTTCTAAAGATGTACTCTTTTGTTTCAAGTAATGCAATTTTATGTTTTTAAATATGTAATTCATCATATACAACATTTAAACACCCTGTAAACATATTTTTAATAAAAATTCTACTAATATTGTTTGAATTATGGCAATCATGTTTTGAAATTTATTGTTGTATAATTGCATCATTAGTGAGAGGGGTTCGCAGGGTTATCGGTAGGTAATTAATTAATTTATTGTTTACCATCACTTATGAAGTATATAAAGTAGCTAAATTTTACGGTAAAATTTATTGTGTTTGATTCTATTCACAATGAAGGTGGTACTGTTATTAGCATTTCTGGTGTGTTCCACCCTTGCCGTTCCCTTAGGACAAACGACTGATCGTACAACTCCATACATCAAGAGTCAAACCTATCCTGCCACGTATGGACAACGAAATGAACAACAGTCTAGTTTGAACCCATGGATGACCAGGAAGTATCAAAACCAGTGGACTCGGGGACCATCAACAATGACGGAAACACCCCAACAACTTCGCCAATTGGAACAACGTTTGTACAACATTCAGCAACTGCTCCAGCAACAGAAACATATGTACGATGTGTCACAATGGCAGCAGTATATGCAGGTTGCAAGTAGATACCTAGATCTGGTGCATAACCTTCAGGAACAGTCTCAGTATGGTATTCCTGAAGATCGATTAGGTCAGCTGCAGCTGCAAGTCCAAAATTTCTATCAAGAAATACAAACAACTCTTCAGAATGGTGATCAAGGTTTCGGAAATCCTCAGTATTTTAAAAAATCTTTCCCTACACGCAACTACGAGTATCAGTTAGACTCTCCATACGAATTGCTTCAAAAGTCGTATAAATGGAATCCTTTATACCAACAACGTCAACAACAACGACAACAATGGAAGCCAATTGTTGGTCAGAAGGAGTCCTTCGATACCTTTAAAAGCTACAAACAAAAGGGGTATCAATATCAGAAAGGAGTGCTCTCCACTGGAAAAAGCAAGTTTATCCGTCAACGTCAACAGGAAGCTGGATTTCTTCCAAATCAGTGGGATGAAGATTATACCGAGCAAGGAACTTTTCAGGATTTGGTAAGGCATTATTTTGCACCACCTCAAAATCAAGAACTTCAGACTCAACGCCAGATTGCCCATTATGAAGCCCAAGCTGTTCATGTCAACCCACAAACGGAGGAAGTTATTATTGGTAAGTATCACAATACGTATCTCAATAGTTTTTAGTTCGCCATTATTTTATTATTCAATTTATTCAAAAAGTTCTTCGAAGTTTTGCTACTACTTTATTATTACCTTATTCTTGTAAGTAGTAGGTCCTCACAATAGAATCGAAATGTTAAAATCAAATAATTCGTCTTTCCACAATATTTTAAATATGCAACTACTTAAAATTGAAACTTTACTTTTAAATACCCGTAGGAAAAAATTCCATTGAAATTCAATGGGAGTCAATGAAAAATTTGTAAATTCCATTCAAAACCATTTGGCATAAATGGAAAATTAATTGTTTCCATTTACAGTAATTCCATTAATATTTACATTAGAAAAATTTCCATTGATTTTCAGTGGGAACCAATGCAAAATTTATAAATTCTATTTAAAACCATTCAATACTAATGGAAAAACAATTGGGTACCTAAAAATGAAGAAGATCCGGTTTGAGATGATTAAAACTTATTAAAAAAATGGAGTTAATGAGATTGTCAAAGCAAATTGTAAAAATAATAAACAAGACATTATTTGGAATAATAATTGTCATGTAATTCATATTTTTTCCGTCGAAATACCTCATATTTCATCTTGATTAAAATTTAATCAATCATTTAATTACCACTAACAATAATTAAAGGTAAAAAAATAAAGAATTGGCACTAGGATTTCCATTTGATTCAGGAATGGAAGTTCCAATGGAACGCTATGGAAATCCCATTGAGTTTTGGAATGGGATTTCCACTAGAATTTTAGTGGAAATTCTATTCATCCTATTGGCAATTCTCCATTTATTACCATTAATTAGGTATTATTAGTGGTAATTAAATGGCATTTTTTTAATGGAAATAGAATGGAAATTTTTCCTACGGAGATCCCTCCATGCCATTAGGAGCGTGTTTTGAACTAGTTTGTTTTTAAATATCTTTATTTTCAAGCAAAAAACAGTATTTGAAATGTTTAAATGTGCTGTGATATGATAAATTCTTATACCTTAAGGTGTAATGTCCCTCTTTTAATTGACGTAATAAAGGTTCTTAGTTCACGTGATCTATCATAACTGTTAGACATGGATTTTGAATATTTTCAGTATGGTGGTTGTTAAATATTTCATGAGTCTGTTAATCATAAAAAATGGATCTAAATACTTGCCCAGTACCAATTAATGTTTTTGGAAAAGGTACCCAGTGATTGCCAAACAAGAACAAATAACAAGAAATATTAAATTATTAAGTTTCTTTGACATGAAAATAACACGTTTCTTTTTTGCTTTCAGAAAACCCTGAACATTTAAATAAGCAGCAGCAAGTTTTGTATCTTCTGAAAAACATTCATCAACAGTACAGTTCTGATCCAGAAATTGGTCTACGAGATAATGACTACTCTATCGAAGCCAACATTAATAATTATAATGTAAGATGAAACCCCTTTCTCTTTGCGGTTTACCATACCAGTACCTATGCATTATTATGTCCTTATTTTTTCTACTTCTTCATAAACATAATCATAATTACTTTTTCAGGATGTCCACGCTGTTTACAATTTAATGAAACAATACAAAAAGGGTTTACTCCCTAAAGGAGCCCTTTTTTCTATTTTCAACCCTGAACATCTAAAACAGGTTGTGACATTGTTCAAAGTGCTTTATCACGCGAAAGACTGGGACATTTTCATCAAGACTGCAACATGGGCGAAAGTCCATGTGAACGAAGATTTGTTTCAATACGTCTTAACCGTTGCACTTGTTCAAAGAGGAGACACCGACTTCTTAGCATTGCCCCCAGCCTACTACGTCAACCCACACTACTTTATCAATCAATATGTTATTCAGAAAGCACAAAACATCAAACAAGCCATTACTGATTTCACGCCTCAGAAGAAGTACTTCATTAATTCCAACTATTCCGGATGGTACTTAAACCTAGACCCTGAGCAATCCTTATCTTACTTTTTAGAAGACATTGGACTTAATGACTACTATTATTTCTACCACATCAATTACCCATTCTGGCTGAACACTGAATACTTGAAATTCGGTGGTGATCGCCGTGGAGAACAAGAGTACTACTTTATTCAACAACTTTTAGCAAGATACTACATGGAACGCCTTTCGAACAACATTGGTGACATTCCTGAATTAAATTTAGACGATAACGCTATTGATACCGGTTATGTCCCATCGTTACGCTATCCAAATGGAGTGGAATTCCCAACCAGAGGCATTAATGCCCATTTGGGTAGGGAAGAACTTCTGGATGAAGCAGAACTCTTTGTCCAACGCGTAAGAGATGCTATCGACGCTGGATACGTTATTGACGTAAGTTGTCTAAAAATGCTTAAAAAAAAAATATTTCTAACCAGATGTGTATGATTTGATTAGTTTCTTCAATAATACATTTCTCTCTTGAGATTGTTTTAGCTATCGCATCCACTCATAGAATGTTGGTGCAGTAAGGTGTCTTTTAGCTTATTTATTTTCCTTTCTAGGAAGATGGGCACCAAGTTGATTTAGTTGGAGAAGATGGCTTTGAAATGCTTCTTAACATTATCGAATCAACACCGGAATCACCAAACCCGCAATACTACGGCCCTACGCACATGATTCTGCGATGGGTTCTTGGACATTCTCTTGAACCATTTGACTCTCAAAAACTTGTTCCGTCCGCTTTGGAACATTACGAAACCACCCTTCGCGATCCCGTATCTTGGCAGTTGTTCAAAAAGCTTATCGAACTCGTCCAGCGTTACAAACGCTATCTTCCCAGTTACAACCAGCAACAACTTCACTTCCCAGGAGTCAGCCTTGACGAAGTTCGTGTAGATGCATTGAATACATATTTCGACCAATACGATGTGGACATATCGAATGCAGTTTACGTAAATGAAGAAGAATATGCCGAAGATTCCGTCAAAATTTTCGCTCATCAGGCTCGTCTTAATCACAAACCTTTCACTGTCCAAATGACTGTGAACAGTCAGAAAGCTCAACCTGCCGTTGTAAGGATTTTCCTTGGCCCGAAGTATGACGAATACGAACGTGAAATTGATATCAATGAGAACCGTCTTAATTTCTTCGAAATGGATAAATTCCAAGTTGAACTTCAACAAGGTCGAAACAATATTATTCGTGAATCCACCCAAATGAACGTTGTCGAAGATTGGTCTTTCGAAGATGGTTTCCCACAGCAAGTTCACAAGGCTCTGGAGCAAGGGTCACTCCAGATTCAATATTCTGATTTACTGACAGCATTACCGAGCAGGTAATATCTTCCTTTTGGTAAAATTTCTAGTATCTATTTGACGATTTTGAGTTTCGCCATGATCTTTTTCTATTATCCGACAACTAAGACGCTGCAAAAAGAAACAAAAAAACTAAAAACCAAAGACCATGGAGAAACTCAGAGCTTTGCAATAGTAACTGTAAATGTGATAGAGTAATTTATGAGAAGTCGTACCGGATAGGAAAGAATGGAGGAATGAGAGTAACAATCCACGTTGGATTCGTTAATATGTTTGACTAAAGAATTCACATATAAATTGCAGAGGAGATCAAAGCATATCGATGAAACGTCCACGTGGATTCTTAATTTCATTTTGCCTATCCAAGTTAGAGAATATATTAATGTTTGTATTTTCATTTTTGCAGATTGCTTCTTCCAAAAGGGCAACGAGGTGGTCAGACCTTCCAGATCTTCGTAATGATAAGTCCATTGATCGAGTCTGCTCAACAACGCCAAGCTGTTGAACAAATGCAACAAAATATCTTCGGCGAAGACTACAATGTACAGAAAGGTATTCTCAACCAATATGTTGATGGCCTTCCTTTGGGATATCCTTTCGATAGGGAAATTGACGAAACCGTTTTCTTCGACATTCCTAATGCCGTTTTTCAAGATGTCGTCATTGAACATGAAGGACCTGAAATACTTGAAGCTCAAAAACAAATTGGAGACTACCAATCCACGCCTACTAAGAACTTTTATTAGTGATGATGACGACTATGCACGATACACCGAAAAGATAATTAGATATGTACGATTGAGTTGGCAAATAAAACAATTCTAATGAGTTGATTAATCTTTTTGTTAATTATCTACCGTAATTTTAATAGTTCATACGAAATAAGAAACTTTAAATCTGAAAGAAGTTATTGAGATTGGCCAGAAAGTTGTCAAAATATCTGTGGTCCATAACGTGATTCTTCTAGTGTGTTGCATTCAAAGCGATAAAACAGAAAATACAAGGTAGAATTAGTACTTTCCGCGTAATTTAAAAGAGATTAAATTAGAGATGGACCCAATGTTATGTTCTCCTACATGACTTTACGGCTGCATTTTGGGTTATTTCCAATACGATAATATAATTAATTAATTTTTAATTTCTTTCGGCTTGAATAGTTATTGTTATTTTAGGCAGTCTAGTGAAAAGAAAAGGTTAAAAGGGTTCGAAATGTGGTATCACAGGCGAATGATGAGGATGCCGTAGATACAGAAATGAAGAGGTGTTAGAGAGAGTGGTAGTAGAACAGAGGACTACGAGCTACGTTGGTAAGACATCTTCTCGGAAATGAAGGTCTAATCAGATACATATTAGAGGCAGAAACAGGAGTTAAAAGGGGGAGAGGTAGACCTAGATTAGATTACTGTTCACAAATAGTTAAGGATGAGGGATGTTCCAACCAGTCTTAGGATTGACGACCTTATGATGATGAGTGTGTTCTTTGAAAGCTTTGTCTTACAATAAGGTGAAGTTATAAAGCTGATCAAAATTAGTATTTCTTTTATTGGCTTTTCAAATATGTAACATTGGTCTCGGTGTTTCATTTAGAAATAGGTGGTGGCAGTGTATTTTTCTGTGTTCAATCTTTATATCGGTCCGAAATCGTTAGGTATGAGAAATTTTTAATCTTAGTTTATCCGGAACATATTATTTGATTTTTGAGTAATGTCCCTGTAGTAAGCTTCAATGCCGTTTTAAATTACATATTTCCATAGCCTTAAAGCTTAGATCCCTCGTAGCCTATGCAAAAAAAATCAGTTCTTAAATAATTTTTCCGAAAAAGAAAACTGACAGTGCAAAAGATATAGGACACTTATACAATTATATGGTTAGCTTATAAATTACTGGCGAGTGAAGAACCCAACATCCAGGGACAGCATCATCTTTTGAAAAATACGATGTGATATATTAAAATTCGTACAAATACTTTCAGCCATATTTTCATATAAATAATAAAGTAAGTACTATATATGTAAATAAAAGCCTTTGAGCTGGTTACATTTCATTCGAAAGATTTTGATAGTGCGGTTCGTTTAAGAGAGCTTTTAGAGAAGCAGGACCGAGCGGCATGGCCTAGAGGTTGCTTCGCATTCGGAAAGACATCGGTTCGATTCCGGGTCCGTCTGCCTTGGTTCAAGTTTTTCTGTGGTTTCCTTGGATCACTTAGGCAAATGCTGTAGCACTAATATTCCACAGATAATCTTTAACTCTCTTCTGTCTTCATTTCGTCCGTCTCATCTTTCTCACCCGAACCACCACCCACCCATTCCCACTATTCCTGAAAGCAGGTCGAAGAGGGCTTTCCGCCCTACCTTTTGGCGTAGTCCGGAGGGACTGCCCGCCCACCACCATTAGTGGTTGGTGGGAATGAAAAACCCAAAAGTTTTTTTTTTGGAGAAGCAGGTGATATTTTCAAATAGACGTAGTTGAAAAAATATATTCCATACGTGCATGTTTTGCTCATGCGACATAGAAAGAAAAAATTCTGGCAAAAACGTGTAACTTCTATGTTCGGTTAACTTTTCTACTTGTACTTGTATAATCTAATTTTACGGAGATAGATAGTAGTTGTAAGAAATATTTGTATTTTGGGCTAAAAAAACGACCCTCAAAACATGTAGGTACCAATAGGTAAATTTTCTGCCCATTGGATCAAGGGGGGAACAATTATTTAATAAAAATTAAACCAAGTAAATCACAATATTACCCATCCCAATCATATATGTTTATAATTAAATACTAGTTAGTTTAAATAACATGTTAATTTTGTTGTAAGTTCAAATTCCAATAGGTATCTCTTATTCCTTTCAAACTTCATCATTCAGTCAAACTTTAAAACAAAAATTCCTAAGAATTTAAATTATTTATTTAACGTATATTATGTTGTTATTTAATCTTTTATTTACGTTCCATACACGTACCTATATATATAAGCTGCGCAGTAGATTCATGTAGACGTTCAGTTTAAAAAGGAGAAAGCTTTTGTAAAGAGTTTCTATAGATGCAGAATTTTCATCAATAGCAGCAGCAACTTACTACAGATGGCGACGTATTACCGCTTTTATTTATAAATAAGCAAAAGTATACAGACGAGCGTCATAAATTAATACAATGTACAGTGGCGGATCCAAGCGGTGGAAATGGGAGAAACTCTCCATCTCAAGAGCTAATGAATTTCTTCGGTAGTTACTTTGAAAAATGTTATGTAACAAAATCCCAATTAGGAGTTTAAAAAAAGGCAAAAATTAAAGATTAGCTGTGTATTCTTTTGACGAGAAAAAAAAGATGCTGCTCAACTTTGAACTTAAGTTTGTACCTGGGGTTGATACTGAAACGCTGCTTAATATAGAACTTATTCCAGAAGCTATACAGTTAGAATAAAGAAAAGATCTACCCCCCCATCCCGTCAAGGATTGTTTCTGGATTCGTCCCTTCAACAAGTACATTAATTGTATATATGTATTTATTTATTATAATACTTAAACTAGTAGAAGCTTTTTACAAAAATTTGAACAATACAAAACTTAAATGACGAAAATGGAAAAAGACCAAAACTATATCGTATTAACTAAATATGAACAAAACAATTGCAGCAAGAAAACTACAGAATTTCAAACCAACCCTAGATGGCGTTCAATAGGGTTCCTAGTTTTAAAGTCACCAACGGAGAAGGCATAACGTGTTACATCCGGAAGGAGCTGATTAAACACATGACTGAATCTAGGGATGACTGAATTATAATGGAATGATCTTGAACCTGATAATTCGATAAATTCCCTGATATTTCCCAGGAGGTAGGACAAATTACGTAAATAGAATAACGAATTTAACTCTGTACAGTGAACTGTTCTACGGTAGAGTTTGAAAGGAAACAAACAGCCATGATATGTTGTATGAACCAGCGAACACAAGAACGATAGCTATCATTGTAGTCGTGGTTGAAAAAGTTCATATAGGATCTGGATCTGAAGCAGAGATGACGTAAGAAACTATGGTGAACACTCTTCGGTACGTTCGTATTAGAGAGAGTGTAAGGTAACCAAAATATAGAGCCGCAGGTCAGAATTGAGAGAACCAGGGTATTACATAGATGACTAAGTGAGGCAGAATGTGAAACTGCTAATGAACCCTAGAGATCTGAACGTAGAGAAGACACAATAAATGATATAAATATTGTGTTTTGGCAAAGGATAATGAAGATATGAAGGTGACACGAGGGTCCTTGACTTCATCAACTACATCCGGAACCGACTGGCCAATTGAATAACCAAATGAAAAAGGTAAATTGGAGCGTCCTACTAAAGATAATACAAGACATTTAATTCATTTGGTATGCAATAGGCTAGCACATGACCAGTTTCGTAGAGGATCAGAATCTCTTTCAATGTTAAATGTATTGAATTTATTTGATTCGGTAGAGAAGAGTTTGTTGTCATCGGCATAGTTGGACATTGGTTAAAAGGCGAGCTGCACCATTTACGGAAATTATAAAAAGTAAAGAGCCCAGATGAAAAACCTGGGGAACACCTGAAGTGACCCTACCGTATTTTTTTCTTCAAGTGCCATCTCTGAAACGGAGGTTGGGAATCATCATCATCATACTTTATTCCTACCAGCTACTATTGTTGGTAGGCGGCAAGTCCCTATAGACTATGCCGGAGGGTAGAGCAGAAGGTTCTCTTGAGTCTACTTTTAGGAATCGTGAGAATGGATGAGTAGTGATTGGGGTGAGAAAGATGATACGGACGAAATTAAGACGGAAGGCAGTGGAATATTACTGCCTCAGCATTTGCCCAAGTGATCCAAGGAAATCATGGAAAAGCATGGACCAGGGCAGGCAGCGCGATGCGTGCCTGATAGTTTCAATATTTCCCCCAATGGCACTTGTGAAGTACTAGTAGGCTTTACATAAAGTATTTCTCGACTAAAAGGTTCAAAAAAAAAAGTACTCAGCATAAAAATAAAGTATTTTATTTTTTGTTTTTAAAAACATATTTTTTGTTACACCTAGCAGCCAGCAACAAATGCTGTCGCTCTTAAATACATTAATAGCCTCTAAACATGACAAACAAAGATTTAAGTAAACTAAAAGTTCATTTTTAATTAGTTGTAATGAAGCTTTATTCCTGTCGTCCCACCACTTTGCGTTCATAACAGAGAATACTCTTTCCGTAAATGCTGAAGTGGCCGGAACGGACAGCAAAAGTTACACTACTTTGAACAGATTTGGGTAATTAGGTTGTTCCGTAAATATGGCTTTGTCAATGAAACTAGCGCTCAGAAACATAGAAACATTCTCAAAAATATTATATTGTGTAATATTATTGATGTAAAAATACTCTGAATTTCGAATAATCGCTTACAAAATTACGATGTTTACTTAAGGCCTTAAATAAAGTATTTTTGCATACTTTATGTGTCTTGTAAAGTATAACGTACGCACAGTCGAAATAGAGTACAATACTTTATAATAAAGTACGGGTGGCAACCCTAAGTACTAGGTACCGTTGACAGCAAATTTGAAAACCTAGTATGGAATAACATCACACACCATAATCAACAGAAACAGATATCTCCCATAATTAGAAATTTGGTGTATCAATTCGGTGATTATTCGAGATTGTGCTGATGAGATCTGATGAGTTGGAAACAGCTGAATTACTGACCTAAACTTAAATTTTAACTGTTGAATGAATGTTGTTTATAATGGATGTAATCTAAATATAGCAAACTCTACTATAAATGACTTTACGTTTTACGGTATGTTTTGTTGACACTATTCAGACCTGCCTAC